CGTTGAGTTCAAACTTTGTCTATTCGATGAGTTCAAGATCAAATTCACTCCCGTCTAGAGAAGTACTTAATGTCACTATATGACAGTTCAAGTTTTATACACTGGCATGAAAATTTGTTTTGATCGTTATCAGGCAATGACAGCGTCAGCCTAAATCCCTTCAATGGTGGGGGGATTGTTGGGAGCATTTAAAAGTCTGTTTTGTGATAGACTTTGACAGGGTAGAAGTCCATATTTGAGACAGACGTAACATTCTTTAATACTAAGGGTGTTCATAAGAAGTCAAAGAGTTTGACTTTTGTAGAACCTGCTTTTTGAGTTGGTGTGTGCATTCGAGTTCAAAATTTATCTACCCGGTGAGCTCAAGATTAACATCACTCCCGGGAAGAAGATTACTCAGTGTCACTAGGATCAACTCATTTGTATTGCTCAGATCTTACTCTTTTTTTTTTCCCTTTAAATTTGTGGGGGATTGTTGGAAAATTTCAAAGGGAAATGAAGGGGTGGATAGCGCATCATGCGCTATTAATGTGAAACAGCGCATATTGCGCTTATTTGTAGATGATATGCGTCCTTCCTTTTGTGGAAGGGATGGGGGGCTGCTTACTATAAATAGCAGCTCCCAACATAGTTTCAAAACACACCTTGAATTCGAGTCATTTATTCGATTCTCCTTCTCCCTCCCGTCGTCTGAGCAATAGTGAGGTTCGCCTACGCGATTGCTAGTGCAAGCTATCCGTAGTAGGTCTGTGTAGCCGGTCGAAAGCGTGCCAGGGTTCTAACTGCACCGTTACCGGGCAAATAACGCTTTTAAGGTAGTGTTATTATAACACGGCACAGATTTTCTTTCAACCATACATCAGTAGTGTCCGTGCTTCTTAAAAGGCTTTCAGATCGCACGTTGGCGTTGCAATTTCCCCAACAAGAAGTACCCAAACCCCTATAGAAGACACTACCCCTTTAATTGAGATATACATGCAGAATGTAAAATTCTATCAAGTTTCATGTTTAACATTACCCCTCCAGTCATAGACAAACTGTTATTTTCTACATACCTAAAAGCATAGATAGATTTTTAAAAAAATTGCTACTCCATCCAGCTTTTATCAATCAAATCAAAGAGACAAAATAATTCTAATGCTTTTAAACTACTACGGAATAATAAAAAAACTAATAATTAAAGAAATGAAACACACATCATATCAGATTGTACTACACCATTTGAATAAACGTGACAAGCAATGGATTGCAAAGGAGTTTTAGCAATCAGCCCAGGCCAAAAACACTAAGTTTACGGATAAACATGAACCCTAGTATGTGTATATATATATATATATATATATATATATATATATATATATAACACAACTATAAAACGTCAAATGATATTGATGGAACTAATTGATCCGGGATATATATGTGTGAATATAATCAACATAGTTTGCATAAAATAACAGGATGAAATGGATAATTGAGTAGAATTGTAGTAGTATTAGATGGATTAGAGCTAGAATATTACAAGAAGTTTGTAGGAATAAGACATGATGTTTGTAGGAGAATGAGACACGATTTGTAATAGCCAAACAAGGTAAATGTATATATAGAAATTTCAACTAATTTAACTAATTTCATGGAGGACAGCGAGACTGGGTCAAAGCCCGCAAGGTTGGGCCCCGGAGACAGGCTCCGAGGCGGAAAGGTGATTGCCCGGAGCCGGCCGCGGAGGCTGGGTGCTCGGACCCGAGACTAGGGTCTCGAGTCCCCTCATCCGGGTCCAACCACCTAGCTCGGGTATTCTCATGCATCCGTGTCTTTTGGTTCGGTCGCCCAGTCTGAGTTATTCACCTTGGGTCGCCGAGTCTTCTGTCTTGGGTTCAAGCCACCTTCTTGGTCTGAATTGTCAACTTTGAGCCCCGGGTCCTCATTCTTGGGTCATTTACAATATGTCCATAAGATACCCTACTATTAATAACGTTGAGGAGTATCTCAAATTCTCGAAGGGGTAAATTAATACCAACATGACCAAAGACCAATGATGAGAAATTGTCCCATGATCGACATGCTAAGTGTGCATGATTTACATCCCCCCAAATGCTCTGTCGGGTTGGGGTGTGGGGGGCCCTTAGAGTTGGGGTTCAGCCTTTTGGAAGAATGGTTTATGAAAAAAAGGTCTAAGGTTTTTGTAAAGATATAAATTGTATGATGATATATTTAGATATGAATAGTTATGGTTGGATGAATACAAAGATGTAGAGTTCTACTATATGGACACCAAATTCTACTCGCTGACGTGTCGAACAATGATAGGTTATCTTCGATCACTTTGTGAGTCCCAATAAAGAGCTACATCAAAAATCAAATATTTGTATAAAATAGTAAAAAATAAGAGTATATTTTGAGAATTCAAGTAATATTTTTCTTTTCGATATAACAAATTAAAGTTGATGTCAAATCACAAGTCTATTAATTAAGAGCATCTATCTCTCTTCAATCAGATGAATTTGAAAGCACTTAGTCAATAGATGGAATCCCATACCCACTAACAATGATGTATGATATATACAATTATTACAGCTACAGCCCACAAATATTTAATCACATTGAACATGATTCCAGTTGTAACTTTTGTTCCAAATCTCAATTTCTGAAAATGCTATGGAAGTTTAATAATTTGATAGCTGCACCTATACATGGATATAAGCCATTGTACTATATAATACATAAAACATATAATAGTTTTTTATCCTTTTTTTTTTTTGGTTAATAAGGAAAAAATAGAGATTTAATTTTTTTTTTTTTTGAGATTTTGAGATAGTCACCAACTATTTTTTTGGGTCAATAAGGGAAAAGAAAAAGAGAAAAACAAAATTTTTAATTGAGGTGATCGCCATAGCTGGAGTATGCAGGTGACCGGCATGCAACACAAACTCAACTCTTGTAGTAGCACCTCCTTCATCGATCTCTCTCATCTTTTCTCTTTTCACCATATTAAAACAAAATTGCAAAAACCCACCACTAAGAATGCTCTAAAGTTATACACTAGTACCATTCAATCGACTATATGGTGTCTTGTATCACAAAACCAATTTAAATATAAAGAATGAACAAATAATGTAACAAATTTTCTAAAATTGTGAATATAAATACCTAATATATGACACTATTAATTTTTATATCCACCCTAATTTGTATATATATACATTCCAAAAAATGGTTTATTTTCAAAAAACCCTAATGTAGAATGAACTTGCATTAATATAATTGACATATAGACATGCAAAAATAATGCCGTACAAGTAGTGATTCTAGGCCTGCCCCTGTGTTGGAAGCCTTAAAAGCAAACTATATATCATTAATTATCTCCTCAATAACTCCAAATATCACCTATAAACTATCCACAAAATACCCATTCTAGATACTATTCCTCTTCCAAAAGCTCTTCATTTGCTTTAATTTGGCCCTTGAAACATTATTATAAATAAATCCCAAATATAATATGATTCTTAAAGTTGTAATCATATATTATAACTAAAGAAACATCACTATCTGCTCCATCGGCGTAAAGCTAATAAGGTTGTTGCCCCATCATATGTTGCCTTTGCCATCCCTAAACAGGAGTTTATATAACTGATTAATATAATTCTGACCGAAAATCATCTACAAATCAATGCAATTTGATCACATTACTGTACTAGAAAAATCAAATTTACAAACAGATATCTATAGGTATTTAGTCTACTAACGGATTACCAAAAATGAATCGTTAACCCTGCAGAAGAAGTGAAGAACCACTGCAGATTTGCAGAACAAATCATATGACTGATACGGAAATGATTAAGGATACCATAAATACATGGTTTCTTGTACACTCTAATCTGCACTAAAAAAATTAAGGACATAAATATTCCAATGTAGTGTTTTGTTAACGTAGGGTATCAATCTTTTCCTTTTGTTAGTGAGTGTGAATGTGTCTTTAAGTTAGTGTGCAGTGCATTAAAAAGGTTCAAAACATGTGGCTTACTACCTGCTTTCTGCATCAAGCAGAAGTCACTATCACCTAAAGAAAATCACAAGATGCCTAACTACCAATCTTTTTGCCTCTAATAATCTTTAAAAAAATTGCACCTTTCACATTTACGAGTACTTAAATTCTCAATTTATTTTATAATAAATTCATGGATTATATTCCATTTTGCGTCACGTCGCCATGATTTGCATTAGCGAATGCTACCACGTTAATTGCTTATTTGTCAAAAGTTGTTTGTATAATACATAATGCCTCTCTAGAACTCATATAGTCATTTGAGTTCATGTGATGGGATGTTTCTTAGAAATGGGATAATGTACTAATGATTCTGTCCTTAATCCATTTTCTTAATGATACTTATAATAGTACTGCAAATACAACTTAGAGTGCCCACATACAAAGAATGTAAGTTGGTAGGCATCAGTGTCTACATCTAATCTTTTAAAAGTGATTTTGTAATTGTTGTTTAAAATAATGACTTTTGTGACTGATGATGTGATGCAGGGCAAATTAAATGTCTTAGCGCACTTACTTTTTAGTTTTTACCCTTCCGGCCCTCATTTCACCCAAACTAACCATGTCATTCATCAATCGAGTGTGGGTGCAATGACAACGTAATTAAACTGATTTACTTTTTTTTTTGTGATATTTTGTTAGCTAAGGTTATAAGGTAATTTTCACTCAAAACACATGTCCAAGTAGCAATTATATACATGCTATTTGGTAGATTGGAGAGTAAAGCCAATAAAAATAAATTGGACTTGACGTCTCTAGACTATGAAATTTGTGATAGTGTGTTTAATAGGAAAGTTTGTTGGAGCATTAAGTTGAATAACTTTGTTGGTGGATGGACGCAGGAGCAACAACACCAGGTAACGAATTGAAGGAGTGGAAACCATTGATAAAAGGGGAGTGGCGAAAGAGAATGAAGAAGAAAAAAAATTAGTAGGAGATTCAGGTTCTTGATACCATGTAAGGATATGGAGAAACTGTATTGTATTATTAATGAATAATCAACAGACTATAAATAATGTACAAGAAGGAGACGTAGCAGAAAGTTACAACAAAAGCTAATCTACATGAATACATTTAGAACAGATAAATGATATAAAAAGTGACAGCAATATATAGCCTTAACAAATAAGGTTACGTTAGTTTTCAATATTTGATTGGGGTGAAACCGGAGCCAAACTGGTAAATTATGTGTGACAAGATGTGTAGCCACAATAGGAGGGAAGAACTGAAGAAGGAGCAGTGAGGGCCAGAGCGCAGGCAAGTTTTACTGAATTTGCCATAGTTTTTAAACTACAAAGTAGTACTAATAATTGGGGTGAGTTTGAATAAAGAATGGGTAAATGCATTGTGTTTGTCCATCAAGATTGCAACACATGGTGTTTTAGGGCGGCAAAGGAACAGAAAATCGGGGGAAAAGTTGCATTGAAGTTCATAAACAAAGCATAATTAATGCAATAAACAATGGGGGGAATTCAGGCTAGCTATAAGACAAACTGTGAACCATATGCACAAGCACAACATGGAAGCCATAATAAAGGTTTTAGACCAAGTGAAATGACCCAAACAATTCTTCATTGGAATTGCAAATGAATAACAGCTAGCTATAAGCCTATAAGCTATAGCTACATTCTCTCTCATGGCAACTTTTTTTTTTTTTTTTTTTTTTTTTGGGTGGGGGGAGGGGTGTTTGAATGCACAGAAAATGGTTATTTGATAGGTAACTATGATTTTGGGTACGGGAAGAAATGCGTACCGGGCATGAAATTAGTAGTACTAAAAGGACTAGGGTAAGAAGGTGGCGACGCATTACTGGTGGCAGCAGTCGTTGCGGCGGTGCTCAGAAGATTACTTGGCGGTTGAAATCCGCCACCACCGCCGGAGGAGCTCTCGCCGCCGGTGTTGTACCGGCTCTCCGCTCCTTGGTCGTACAGAATCCCCTTGAACACGTGCCCCGCTATGTTCACCGACGTCTGGTACGCGTACTGATCCTCCCCATTGTCCACCGCGCTCACCCGCACACATCTGAATACCGCCGGAAAACTCACTTCCGCCGGAAAATTCCCCTCTTCCCCACCTGCAAACCGCAAACCAACAAACAACTAACACATCAATTGTCTCAGATCAATTGTTTTCAAACAGTATGTAATACATACTATATAGTGTGAGAGCTGAAACTAGTTACAAAGACACAAGACTAGGTCAAAACAAACTACCAACAGACTAAGTCTCAACATAATGTAGTAGTAGATGAAGAAAGCTAATCCCAAACTAGGGCTTAGCTTGTGTAATGATAAGGTAGGACCGGAGTAACAGTACCGAAAAAGGGGGGATTTTGCAGGTGCTGCGGCGGCCTGTAGCGTTTAGGGTTAGCAGTAAGGGGGTGTTGAGAAAGGTGGAGATGTCTGGGCCGTCTCTTACAAACGGGGACCCAAGTGCTCTTAACGTGGGTCGGACACTCAAACCCTCTGCTCTTACAGCAAGTCCTGCACCGCATGTACGCGCAATCCTTCTTGGATTGGTTCCCGCAGTCTTGGCATCTGCTATTGCTCCCCGAGCTCCCTCCTTCCTGTTCTTCATCATCCTCATCCCTCATCGTCATCATCATCTTCGATCGATCCAAATTTTTTCTTCGATCATTCACAACTACTTACCTACCTACCTCTCAATGCTGGTCCTCCCCGCATCGGGCGGTTCAGCGCTCTTTCCATAACAACCTAGCTAGGTAGACTGTGTAGCTAGGATAGCTAGGTCTATTAATATAATAGATTTTGATCTACAAAAGTATGGGAATTGAAGCTAAGGACTATCTAGTTGATTTGGTGGCCGGAGGTGTGTATATATGGTGAGGTCTATGAAGGGTTGGTTGGGGTTTGCTTATATGGAAAGCTATATTTTTCAGGTCGCTAAGCAGCTTTCCACCCGTGGGAATTTTTCTTGTTTTGACCAACAAAAGTATTGCCGTACAGATATACTACTGTAGTATAGTAGATTTAGTAGGGGGAGCTTTAGGAAAGGAGTGAACCATACATACATACACGTAAGCTAGCACTACTAGCCATAGCAGTAGTAGACACATATTTATTTATATAAAATCATATAGGCTAGGGTTACTGTTTCTTGTAATAATGTTTTTTTGTTGGAGTCTTGATGTACCGTATGCGCCATATACATACAAATATTTGACTATCTTGCTTCTTCCATGACCTTTAGCCGAGCTCAAATTATTAATCTCAAAAAAAATATATATATATATATATATATATATATATATATATATATATATATATATATATATAGAAAAACGCTCATATGTGGTCATGTCATTAGGTATGGTCGTATCTGGATCGTTGAATCAGTTTAATCTAAAGGCAGTGGTAATTCTGAGAATTTTCGCACGTTTTAGTAAGTGGGGGTGTTATGGTAATTACAGTGACCATTTATAGCGGGCGGGTTCCAGAATACACCAACAGTGTTGACAACATACACCAATAGTGTAATAAAACACACCACAGTGAAACACACCAATGGTGTATTCCCGTGTTATGGTAATTACAATGGCCATTTATAGCGGTCGGGTTCCAGAATACACCAACAGTGTTGACAACATGCACCAATAGTGTAATAAAACACACAACAATGTGATTTTTCCTATTCCGGTGTTTTATGACAAGTTTACCCTTACAGTTCTCTGGGTAGGAGAATGTGCGCGAAAATACTGGAAAAAATCTTGATTAATATGAATCATTAGATCTATCTAATCTAATGGTCTATAATTGACCATATGACCACACCTAACAACATGGCCACATGTGAGCGCTCCTCTATATATATATATATATATATACACACACACACATATATATAACCAAGTACAAAATACACCGCTAAAGGAGAGATAAAAATGAGTAAATAACAATGATGTAGAAGACGCTAGTTGGGCGCCCCTAGCGCCTAGGCGACCGAGTAATTCAAATATATGGTCTTCAACTTTCGGGTTGAGTTGTTAGATTGTTATAATATCTCAAACTAGTCAACTATATATGTTAGATGTTAGTTGAGTACATGGATGGAGTAATATAGAAAATGAGCATCGGAGCATGCAAAAAAAAAAACAAAAAAAAAAAAAAAAAAAACACTCACTAAGTTGAGCACCTACTTAGTTGAGTTGGGTGCCGAGTTGACTGACCGACTAAAAGTTGTCTAGGGCTTAAATTGCCTCGATCTAGGTGTGTCTAGCGCTTAATCGACGTCTAGACCAGGCTGATTTTTACAATACTAGATAACTTATGAAAATAACATTTTAGATAATGCTCATTCTATGCTTTCCCTTTTCTTCATTTTTTTTTTAATCAACCGAGGAGAATTGAATGGTGAAAGACAATAATACTAAAGGATCTATCTGAAACGTGGAACACTCCAATTGTGGGACAGACAGGGCAGGACGCTTGATATGTGGGGGGCTAGATAAAATGGCTGGTTTGGTTAATGTCCCAGAAAAATAATGAACTAGATGGATAAGATCAATATATAGCCTTAATTAGCTTGCATGACCGACAGCCAGTTGGATTAACCTTAATTTAAAAAACCTAGGATTTATATATGTTATATGAGTAAATCCATGTACGTATTATGTTGGGTAGCTTAATTAGCGAGCTGAGCTAGGCAGACAAAGTAGCAGCAGTCAACTTAGTCGGCGAGGAAAAGCATTTGTCGTTAACTCCCAAGTAAACAAAGCAATACATTCATGCACGGTCTGTTCCCTGGCCTTGCCAAATGTCAACAAGATACCGAGAAACCCTCCCGGCCCCGGACCATGAAACACCGCGGAGCTTTACGCCTGGAGGCTGGCGCACGTGCAATGTATCACCCAGACAAAACACAATCTACCACAACCTTTGAATTATTATTACTCCTTAAATCATTTTTTTCCTTCTCTATAACATTGAGGTTCTCTGTCACTACTCAAAGATCAATACGAATCTAATCTAAATCATATAATAGATTTTGACATGACGTAAAGTTTTTTAATCCAATTTATCTTTATCAATATTGATTTTTCGTTAACTCGAATGGTTGATTTCCTTTTTTATAACATCGAAATTCTCTATCACTACTCAAAGATCAATTTGAATCTAATTTGAGTCACACTACAAATTTTGACATGACGTAAAGCTCTTTACCCAATTTAACTTTATCAAAATTGATTTTTTGCTAACTTAAATGGTTGATTTTCCTTAAATCAAAGTGTATTATCATCAATCACATTAAAACATTCAACTGGGCAGGTTCGTGTATGAATGACTAAATATGTCAGATCAGTTTTTGGACCATAAACAGCACTAAAGCCCATAGTGGGTGGGGGGTTTAATTGTGCAAAGCTTGATTACCGACCACATTAATTATTATAATCCGTAGCAAAATTGTGGTTTCATTAATTAATTAGGTTATGGCGTTTACTTCTTTTTGATTCCCCATTATCTCCTCTTTCTTTGGCTTTTTCTTGTGTTGTAATTAACAGATTCTCCGATCCACTATATCAAAAATGGGAAACATCAACGTTTTCAGACATTATGCTGTAAATCATTCACATGTATGAATAAAAAAGGGAACAAAACGATAAGGTCTGTTTGGGGTCTACCCATAAACAAACATGAATGTCAAAAGCTAAGGGTACTCATAGTATCTCTGGTTCTGACAGTTGTTCCATGAGGGATATATTGTGAAATCCGGAAATCCGGAATTATATCATCATGAAATTATGAGATTTTATTGAGATAATGAGCCAAGCCCATTTTTAGTTAGGCCTGAATAAATGGCATCATGGGTCGAGTAAGTCAAATGGCTCACAAGGCCCGGCCCAAGATACTGTACGAGCCCGGAAATGAGTTGCGGAATGGTCCAGCCTGCTAAACAAAGAGCCCAACCTTTGTTCAAAACCAGATAATTAAATGTGTTAAGCTATTTTTTAATTAACTTAATTTGGAGTGCAATAAAATTTAGGGAAAAGTCTATAAACATTATTCAAGAAGTCAATTAAACTCTTAAACTTTCAAAGGTTGCAATTAAGTACTTAAACATATTATTTTAGAACATTGAGGCCCAAAAACAAGTTGGTGACATGTAATTACAGGTTAGTATGGTTTCGGCGAATCTCTTACAAGATTCCAACCATTTTATGGCAAAACGGTTGCCCGTGTGTTTGGTTTCCTTTCCCAGCGGGAAGGAGAAGGGTCGCCTTCTCTTTCGCCAGAGAAGGCAACCAAACGACATCGGCAACCGTTTCATCGGTGTTTTTGCTGAAAAATGGTCAAAATTTTGTCGGAGGTTTGTCGGAACCCTAGTGACCTGTAATTACATGTCACCAACAAATTTTTAGGCCTCAATGTTTTAAAATAACATGTTTAAGGACTTAATTACAACCTTTGAAAAGTTGCCCAATTAACTTATTGAATAATGTTCAAGACCTATTTTATCATTTTTCCTAAAATTTATGATTAAATGTATATTTGTCATGAAAAATTATTACATAAATACATAATGAAAGCATGTAACTATTATTGATAAGTGTGCATTAAACTTCGCTCATATGTAATACTCCCTCTGTCTCATTTTATGTGTTTGGTTCGGTTAACGAGTCTTAACTGAAGTCATTTTTAATCCAAATTTTCTTAATACTAAGTTTAGTATTAGTATACAAAATTTATATATTAGAAACTACACTAAAAGTACTATTAAACACAACAAATCAAATTTAAAATAAGTAAAGAATGCTAAAGAAAATAAACAAAAAAGAAATAATTGATTTGACTAATGAATTGTAAGTAGACATATAAAATTGAACAAAATGAGTACCACAAAAGAGACGTGATTTTTGATAGTCATGTCGATCAACCCATTTGACCATCAAATTCGGGACAAGTTTGAAGGGTTTTCAAAGTGTAATGTGATGTAGAGGATCCAGCTACCTTCTACTTATTATTTTTGGAATCATCAATATGAAAGTCTGTAATATGGACCTACCAATATAACTATTGACAATAAGTGCTTAACAAATGCAAATTCAATCGGGGGTAGTAGGGAGATTGCTTCTTCAGCTTTGAAAAAATTTCAAGTCTCTCTGGCTTTTCTTCTCTTTTTCTTTTTCTTTTCTATTTTTAAACCATGAAAATTTTCAAATACCTTGTGATCAATTAGCACCTTTATGACTCTCCTTGAGAAAAGAATCACAAAATTGAATCCAGATGGTAGGATATTAACTCTTTGGACTACAAATCGATGCAGAAAGTACATTGAACAGATCAGATACTACAATCGACATAATCATAGGTTGCTTACCACTTGCCCTTGCTAGGGATTTGTTTTTTATTTGGTATACAACTTGCCCTTTGAATTTGGGAGTCTTTATGATACAAAAAATCTAGCTTTTACCGTATATTCAAATTATCTTAACAAAATTCATTAAAAAAAACTGATGAAAGCAACTGGGCATAGTCGCCCATAAAAGGAATTTCCCAACTGAAAGTAACCAACAGTATACTAAAAGATTTGGTTGTAATAATGTAGAAAATTCAAAGTGGAGATCGAAGATGCTGGAAATATCATCATATTAAATGAGGAGATAAAAAACGTTCCCATGCAGCCATGGCCCCCATTTTCATCATCCAAAATATGAGAATGATCTTTATATATAATAATCCAAAGCCCAACTTGTTTCCCCCCATTTGTCTTCACACTCACATTTATTATTTAGAGAGAGAGAGAGAGAGAGCTATGAGTGATTTCTATAGTGTGCTGTGAGCAAGAAGATCGAGTTCAACACTCCTCTGACTGAAACCTGCCTCCCTACCCATTTGCCCATAATGCTTTCGTCTCATTCTTCACTTCAAGCAATATAATGCTTTTAAACCCGGCTAGCTAGCTAGGTGATCAAACCAAGTTACTATGATCTCACGTCCTCAAGAGATTGTCAAATGTGATTTTAACTTGAAGGGTTTCTCTACCAATTAGATTGGATGGTCTTTTAGATTAATTCTTCCTTTTAAGTACCAGTAAGCCGTTGTGCGGTAGGTCTACAGTAAAAATTTAATTTAACTAGTTTAGACTTGAGTATCATAAGATCGGTGCATAGTGGGACTAAGGATTTAATTTTCTCACCTATTAGACTAGTATTTTGGATAAATTATTCTTTTCACCTTAAGTACCTTTAGGCTTTAGAGGGTTGTGTGGTAAGTCTAGATTAATTTGAGTACCATGAGATTATTAGTGACAATCATTATTGTGTGGATTATATTCCTCATCACTATGTGGACCATAGTACTAAATAATGTAAGTATACTTTTATAGTTTTTTTAAAATGTATATTATATTCAGAGAAAGTACATTTTTAATATACTACAATACTGTGTAGACCATGCTGTGAGATGTAGTAGTTTGGGGTCGATCTGAGTACCTATATATTAGTTCAGCGTTGCACCATGCTGTGAGATTACTAATTCAATATAATCTCAAGAAAAAGCTGTTAGTTCCAATACTAGCTTGTAATACTTCTTTTATATATATATATATAGCAAGAGAGCTAGGTAGTATATATAGCTAGGGAAGTCATTAAAGAGGCCGGAAAAGCAGAAAGGTGAGAAGGGCGGCCGGCCGGAATGAAGATCCAGTGCGACGTTTGCGAGAAGGAAGAGGCATCGTTTTTCTGCTCCGCCGACGAAGCCGCTCTTTGCAGAAGCTGTGACCACCAAGTTCACCATGCTAACAAACTCGCCACCAAACACCTCCGTTTCTCCCTTATTCATCCAGCTTCCTCTGCAGAATCATCGCAGCACTGCGACATTTGTCAGGTACTATATTATATATCACGCGCTGAGTTTAGCGTAGAATTGATCGAATTTTTCTATTATTAATGGTTTTGGGTTTCAGGAAAGAAGGGCATTGTTGTTTTGTAAAGAAGACAGGGCGATCCTGTGCAGGGATTGTGACTTGCGAATGCACAAAGCTAATGAACACACCCAAAAACACAGCAGGTTTCTTTTGACGGGAGTGAAGCTGTCTTCTTTCGATGTTCCCAACCAGCTTGCTTCTTCATCTGAATCCAGCGCCGTCAGCTATACAACTCCGGCGACAATGGCGGGATCGCCGACTTCTTCTCAAGCCATTTATGAAACGTCGTCAAATCCGCAAGTAGTTGACGGGCAACAAACGAGCCAAGAGGGAGCGGTTTCGGCCACGAGTAGCATATCGGAGTACTTGCTAGAGACTCTTCCCGGATGGCACGTCCAAGATTTTCTTGATTATCCCTCATCCTCAACTACCTACCACTTCTGTAAGCTGTGCCTTTTACAATCATATATGCGTCCGCATTATATTCATGACTCTTAACAATCGAGTTTGACATTATTTATTCATTGCAGAGGTAATTCGCAAACTGCAAACTAAGTTAATTTCCAGTGAGCTGAGGATCGGAGACGGCTTGGTTGGTTAGAAGATTTTCGTGGTTTTTTGTTTCTTGTTTTTGCTACCCCATTGTAATAACTTGTCAACCGCACTTTGGTCTGCATTAACGTAAAGTTGTACAGAGGCCAGCAAGTCATGGTTTCCTCGTGTAAGAGATTCACATTTATTATTCTACCTCTCACGTGAGTAGGGATGGCAATATGCTCCGTTCCCGTTGGGGATCCCCGATCCCCGTTCCGACGGGGACGGGGATGTTGCAAATTTTCGGGGGACGGGGACGGGACCGGGGAATGTTTATAATTCCCCGTCGGGGACGGGGACGGGGATACCCCTCCCCGCCCCGCCCCGTCCCCGAATAATTAATAATAATAAATAAATAAATAAATAATATATATATATATATATATATATATATATATATATATATATATATATATAAAATTAAGATTTAAATTTTTAATTTTTAAAATTTTGATTAAGAATTGAACGGGGATCGGGGAATCCCCGTCCTCGCCTAATTTCCCGCGGAGACGGGGATGGGGGTTATTTTCAATTCCCCGCCGGGGACGGGGACGGGGATGGGGTTGGGGTTTCGGGGACGGGGACGGGGAGTATACTCCCCGCCCCCGCCCCGTTGCCATCCCTACACGTGAGGGGACTAGCTTTTTCGACTGATTTGCAAAAAAAATACTCTTAAATGTTGATAAATTTGACAAAATGAATCCATAAAATGAAATCTCCTTGTTAATACTTATTGGATCTTCACACAATTATATAGGGGTGTTTGATAAATAAATATTAACTGATTAGATTAGTAAATTTAACTAGTTAATAACATTAATAAACTCTAATAAAAATATTTAGTAAATTAATTGTTAACTGATTACATACAAAATACTAATTAAAAAATATTTTTTTTAAATATTTTTTTGAACTTTAATGTTTTAAAACAATAAATCATTACAAAAAATTAATTAACCAAACACTTATATTAGTTATTTAACCAAGTCAAACAGCTAATAATGATTAAATAAGTAAAAATTAACTGATAAACAAACTATGTTACTAAAAGACCTATATCTAGTGAAACAATTGTCATATACGGAATATAACTAAAAGCAAAAAGGTGTACTATAATTTATCATGTATAATTAATAGTAAAAGACAGTATGACATGTAATTCATATACTAATATACAAAAATTATCTGTGTACAACCAAAAACAAAAAGCATGACATGTAACACAGTGATATACAAATTTCAGAACTGAGAGCAGTAGAAGAAATCACCATCAATGGCATTTAAGTTGTTCTTATGTACATTAGACATGAAGTTCCAAGATCACACGATTGAGAAGCATATAAGCTTTCCTCAAAACTCATCTATTGATATTTTGGTCCTTCCTTGTTGCTTCCTTTGGTAGACGGTGGAAAGATGTACAAGAAAAAGTATTTTAGTACACAATTACATACAATTCAACCAATCAAAGAATTGCACAATATGAGGTACACCCATAATGAGCTCCTGCAACAAAACGGAGAAGTAGACGAAAAATTAGTTGTTTTAATTCACAATTTACAAATAAAATCAAGGATTAAATATCATTTCCGCAATCAAAATACCTCTTTTCAATCATTTGGAGGGCTTAAGTGCAACTTTTAAGTAAAAGCAAAAATCCTATCTGCAATTTTTGTCCGGCATATTGGACACTCAGAACATGCAAGGGAGCACGACTTGCACACTGCAAAATTTTGCACGTTTACGTACCGTACTTGCAGCATAGAAGAAAATGAACAAAATCAGGAAGCCTACTTACAGCAAAAATGACGACAAGGAAGAAGCATAGTTGCAGTTGGTGATTCAAAACATACTTTACACACATGTGAATTTGCATCTCCATTCCCCGCATACCTGTGCTCCTTTTCCTTTATCTCTTGCATTCGAGCCTGGGGATATATACACAAATAAAATAATTAAAAACATCCACAACATATTACTCCGAATTATCCTTTTATGCAAGCCCATAATTCACATTAACAAGCAACAGTCACAATGTTTATTCAGCAAATACAGAATTTCCTTAAACACAACATATTAGTAAAGAGAAATTACTTAGTGCTAGTTATTCTTTTACAAGGAAAACAATAAACTGCTCCAATCGTGACTCAGAAAAGAAAAAGTGCAAGAAATTAAGTTTGCAATAAGATGACAAGAATGGAGAAATATTCCCAAATGGAGAGACAATAATATCTTACCTTGAGGCGAGCAACAAGGGGTTCTTCCTTTGGAATGTCAGGAGGTGGAGATTGATGATCAAGGGCTTGGAACTCAGTGCTGACAGGATCCTTGCTATCAATATCAGTATTTTTTGGATCATATATACTGTTCACTGCATCACTCTGTCTGTCATTTGTCTTTGACTCCTCTTTAGTACCGTTTTCTTTCTTCAGCTGAGCAACTAACACCCACATATTTGCTAAATCATTTTCCAAGGCAGCCTCCCTTTTCTTCGCCTCTTCAATCTTTTTCCGATACTCGTCTTCCATAACCTCCCTCTCAGCCAAGGCAGCCTCCAACACTGCCTCTCGCTGTTTCCTTGCCTGCAATTCCATCTTTAAATCTTCAGGATCCAAGTCCCACGTGTCAAAGTCATCATGAACAACTTCATTTGCTCGGCCAGAGACATGGCCTCTACGACCTGGTCTTGTGTTCTCAACATACTTGCGACTTCCACCATTACCAGTCTGCATACTAGTACTCCTAGAATTCAACTTCTCTCGAGCAGCAGATAATTCTTTTTCCAGTTTTGCATTCTGCAATGAGAGCTTGGTGACTTCCCCAGCAATATTCTTCAGTTCAACAGCAGCAGCCGAAGCTAACTCCTTTGCATAAGAAGCTTCCTCAGACAATTTTTGGTTCTGTACACACAACCCACTATTCTCCTCTACAATCTGAACATGTTCTAGCTTTAATCTCTCATTCTCAATCTCCTGCTCAGAGTACAAAAGGATCAATTAATAATTGTGCAGACTTCCCTGTGGTTATAAATTACTTACATCGTGGAGGGAGATGTTTCAGAGTTATCAATTACCTGGATCTGAATTCTCTTTCTCAGCTCATCAATATATTCATCAGGCACACACTTTTCAGAAGAGGGTGATGACTTTTCACCCTTGAGTCCAACTAACTGCTGCTCCAGGTTACTGACTTTTGCCTGCAGTTCCTCATTCTCCAAGCACTGCCAATAATAAGAAGAAAAAAAATAATGATGTTCAGCACTTCAGCATTCAAATGATATCAGCAACTCCAGCATATATGGATAGGCAAAAGAAGCCAAAATTCACTAGGCAGCAGAATTGTGAAATGGACAAGATTGTAACCTTGATCTGCAGCTGTTCTTGAAGGACACGATTATCTGCTGATTTAATCTGCATGCCAAGACTTAAATATTAAAGAGCATTATTTAAATGGAAGAGAAGATATAAAGTTATTTCTTATTCCAGCACTAACCTCCAGTTCAAACCCCTTTTCACTACACTGGGCCATCAATTTCGTCAATGTCTGTCATTAAAAGAAGATAAAAATGTCACCCTAAATAACAATAACAACAACTAATAATGTTAAGAAACAAATAACAATTAATGTAATACATCACATAACAAATGAGACAGGGAAACACATTGAAGTGAATAAAGTCAGATCACCTGCTGCATCTCAACCATAGACGCTTTAGCAATTGAAGCTTCACCACTCGCCGCAATTTGTTGTTCTAACATTCTCATTTGCTTTCTTTTCTCCAGAATTTCACGCTCTAAAGTTTGAATCTAGAAAAAAGATTTAGGTAATTCACATGAGTACACAGTCTAAAGTTTGAAAAATATAGTTTAACGAATACTATCAAGTCCTACATAGCATAGCATATTATAGCACTGTAATTTCCAATCCATATTTGTAAAAATAAAGCTACCATATTAATATACAGGTGTACACAATATGCTTCAGACATAAGAATTGAGAAAGAATGCACACTTGACTTTTTGAGCTCTCTGGATCATCTACAGACTGCTCCAATAAACGCTTCAGTGTACTAGTGCTGAATGCAATCTCTCCAGCAAGCATCTTGACTTGCTCAACTAAAAGGTCCATCTGATCTGAAATACTGATCTCTTCCTATAAAGCAAGGAGGAAAAAAAATGGTCAGACATTGTTGTTATCCATATGATGACAAAAGCATTCTGAACAGCATTAAAGTCCGGATAGTTTTTTCATCTGTAATGAGATAATGGCATTATTAACATACAAGTAGCCCCTTGTAAGTACTTATTGAGAATTGGATGAAAAAGATCCGACAAGCTTACCCTATTTATGTATTCTGGACATTAGAAAAGATACTATAGATATGGAGACTTACTGTGGGCAGTTTTGAACTACTGGAAGAACCACTGATAAGTTCACCCCCTTGAGTTGATTCTGTAATTGTACTACCAGCCTGTGATAAATCATCAGTCCACTTGCTGGAAGATCTTCTGTGTTTAAAATCAGAAGTATCTGATGTCAAGTCCTGATTTTCACTATCCGTCAGCAAAGAACCTTCACGCTGAGCATCCAACTTCTGATGTAAGGGAAAGGCAGATAGAAAAATAAAACATCAGTCTACAACATTAGCATGGCACAGGCCAGTAAAACAAAATATACAAGGAGAGTAACACAAAAGGAAATATGTAAATGTACTTGTTTCAATAAACCAATAAACCATTACATAGGATGAACAAGACCTAGTGAACTAATCTTAAGGTTAGATAAGCAAGCCTCACACGAGTTGATTCAACAAAAGATCAGCATAAAACAACTAAAAGTATCTTTTAATCAATCAAATTAGGGAGGATGTCCTACATCATCTTCAGAAACAGAATGCCTTCGTTGTTGGGAAGACACACCACCCAAATAGCCAGGAATCGAATTCTTTGAAGAAACAAGAATTAGTTTCGTAAGCCTCTGGATTCTGCTCATTAGAGCAGCCTTGGCTTCCTCCTCCTCTTCCAATCTTGATTGCATTTTAACTTGTCCTTCTTCCAACTGTAAAACA